CTGATCGAGGTGAAATGTAGTCAATTTTTGTTTCCTGACAATTCTACGTATCGTAGGATTACTCAAATCCAACAGAGGAGCGATACCACGCCAAAAGAGACCGTCAACACTCAGCTTCACGACCATTTCCCTCACATCCTTGCTAATCTGACCTCGGTTCACTATCCTGGCTGAAAATACCATCTCCGTCGTCAAAATAATCAAGTTTGATATCGCAAACTCTCAAAGTGAGAAGTCAAGTGTTGATTTTCAACTTTCCCGGCACGTGCATCAGCCTGACAACTTTTTTGAAACCGTACGGTACGGTAGAGCAAAATTTGGTCACGTGGCCATAAGTTTTGACCCACCCAAATGTATGGTGATCCATCACAAATCTCAGTTGACAACGGATTCTTGCAAATTTTAGTGTCCTTGCCAAGTTTCAATCGGCTTTGGCCTCAAAGAAGTCAAAAACGGCGTGTTTAGGAGCCAGGCTGAGCTGTACTGACGATTCCATGGGGTGGGTCAAAACTTTTGGCCGCCACTGTATGCAAGTCTAACCCCACCCAGGAAACCGCTTGCTGTCTACAGCATGCATTGGGCAAGAACACGACTAGGTACACCCTACATGGTGGTAAGCACCATACCAGGGAGTCGCTAAAATGCGTTACATGTTTTTGACGACACCCTGCTGTGGCCCTTGGCAGAAACTGCTCGAGGCAGATTCTGCTCGAAAAGCAGTGAAATTGGCAGAGCCACACAAAACCTTATGGCGGGCAATTCCTCGAATTCTGCTCCATTTCTTTTATATCCACATACCAAACATGCATGAAACATACCAGAGAACGCCTAGTACTGTACCAAATTCTGCCAATGTTTCTGCTGGAATTATCCTACTACACTGCACCCTGGTGATCACTCAGCTGAGATTCCGTCACAGTATCACCTGTTCCCGGTCCTTGCTAATTAATTACAGACGACTCCTAGACTCGGTTCAAATTCATGACGCATCGTGCGTATGTGTGTGTGTGTGTGTGTGTGTGTGTGTGTGTGTGTGTGTGTGTGTGTGTGTGTGTGTGTGTGTGTGTGTGTGTGTGTGTGTGTGTGTGTGTGTGTGTGTGTGTGTGTGTGTAAGACTGTAAGCACCACCAAGCTAGACTTGCTATTGTATGGATCCAACAGAAACTTAGTAAAAGACTAAAACGGCTTACGGAGCGAAATAGAGGACAGTCCTTCATCTAATTACGTCATTGTGACGTTCTGACTCCGGAGTCCGGAGTCTAGACTCAGGACTCAGGAGGTCACCCGTCAGAGGATAGTGCAGTCCGGAGTCCGGACAGGACGACGATCGGCGCAATGCCAATGGTTATCTAGCGACTATTGTGTGTGTGTGTGTGTGTGTGTGTGTGTGTGTGTGTGTGTGTGTGTGTGTGTGTGTGTGTGTGTGTGTGTGTGTGTGTGTGTGTGTGTGTGTGTGTCGCATCAGCGAACGTGCATGCTGATAGCGGTGGGCAGTGACAGGAAGATGCCAACGGCATAGATATATTGCTGACATCGTCATGTCCACTGGTCGACTGTCGTCACAGCAGAGGACGTGACTGAGACAGGACAAATCTCAGTAGACACATCACGAGATCTATCGTACAGTTACATACATGTACATGTACACTCGTACGGAATTACCTATGTAGTCGTGCACTATGTGGGATGGCATCATGGCGGGAACCTCATTATGCATAGGCACTTGCATGCAATGATTCACCCAACTGCTAGGCATTGCACATTCAGTCGATACATGACGCACGGCATGCTGTGCATGTCTACGTCTGTCAACTGACGTTACAATACTCTAATCGTTGATAATGCACACTCAGACAGCCTCTTGACGGCAGCATCATGCAATCATGTATCTCCTATGCGGATAGTAGTTCCATTCTCACGTTCCTGCAAGTAGGTATACATGTTGTCACTTGGCTGTACGTGAGACCATCCAGGAACCTAATGCTCTCCAACACGTACACTGTACTATAGCATTAGTAGCAATCATGAATCTAACAAATTGCTTTTTACTAGGATATGCATCAGCACACGCACGCGGACTGGATATCGGCGCGGAATTCCACAATCCGCAATGCAAGGATTTCGTGCGTGAGGACCACTTTATTCGTTGTACATGTACTTGTTGTCCGGCCATTTCCAGTGATAGCGTCCGTGCACTAACGCTGCATGCTAATGACAAGTGGCCTCGCCGGGGACACATTGACGTGATTAGTGGTGCTCCGAGCTTACCTACCGCTCGCCCGCATAACGCCTTGCGGCCCTTCGGGAAAACATCGAGCAAATTGCGAATACACAGGACTGCAATGCCAGCATACCTCCTTCTCACGTTCTCCTCTAGATTTGTATACACATGTGTATATATCTTACTGAGAGAAGCCAGTGAAGACGTTTTGATGTGAACACTGGCAAGCACTGCATTGGATATATTTCCTGTGGAGTAGACTCCGGAACAGGCACAAAGAGAACCTTTCAACAGAAAGTGGTCAATTGCATGATTGGTGTTTTAACATCAGTAGCCGCACGGAGAGCTCTGCTTGTAGTTCAGTATCAGACGTGCAAGGCTGTGAAGTGTGAGGCTGTCGCAGTGTCGGGTTGGATACGTGTTGCTGTTACTGGTTCAGTCCGCGAGGTCTGAGGGAACTGACCGCTAGGGACAGTTTAGTGTGAAGCGTACTGTGCTGGTGACGAACAGTGGATGGCGAAGAGAGATTGGTTAGTTGGTGCAAGATGAAACTGAAAAACTTCTTTCTCTAATGCATGTAGTTCCAGAACGTGCGTTATGTTATCACCCTTATCATTCTGACGAGCCGGAGCTGTACAATCATGCTTGTCCCTAGCGACTAGTATCTGCTTCAGTTGGTTGTGCGTCATCAAGGTTCAATTCCCTTGCAATCTGTATTGGCATGACTACACGGCTGGTGCTTGTGTGAGTTCAGTGTGCACATGCATATGGTAATTGATGTAGTTTTTAAACAAGGCATGGGTACAATTTATAATTTGCTTTGCTCAATAGAGAGATTAAGCTGCGCACGTTATTTTTGGTCTGACGCGCAATTTCACGTCAAATGGGTCGAAATTTTGTTGTACATGTACATGTACATGCAAGTACCCCAAATTGCGAGGTGAGATGCAGTAAGTACCCTTGACGGCAGCATTCAGTTAGCGCCTGGTAATTTCTGGCATCCAAAACGTGTCGCAAGTTTCCATGCTCTTAAAGAAATTCAGCACACTGATCCAGTCTATGGATTGTGCCATCAGTAGGGCTCTGACGTATGGACTACACCCCCAATAGGCGTTAGCAGCTAAGCCTTTGGACAATCCTGAAATGAAGACTATTCGTATTCAACAAGAGTACAATCTTGAGAGCGATTTTATCTCTTCAGCTGGATCTGGCGCCGTCTACAATCAATGCACAGAGCAGTTTGCCGCGATTTATATTCGCGAATGTGTGATGGTCGCTAAAATAGCGAAATTCAATCTCTAGCGAAAGTTTCTCATTTTAGAGAATACGCTGGATACACATGTACATGTACATGTAGCTCAGCTGGCCTGACCCACAGTGCTGCGCCAGGAGGATAGTTCGTCAATGACTCATGACTTTCTAACCTTCATCACGAACTGTTATGTCCATCGGTCAGAGCACAGAACTGTCCATTACTAACAGTTATTACTACTAGTCGGTGCCTGTTGGCTTTTGCGTTGGTCGAGCCTGGCTATTCTTAAATTGGCAAGTGGAATTTAACATTAGTTGCAGATCTCTCTCTCTCTCTCCCCCCCCCCCTCTCTCCCCCCCTCTCTCCCCCCCCTCTCTCTCTCTCTCTCTCTCTCTCTCTCTCTCTCTCTCTCTCTCTCTCTCTCTCTCTCTCTCTCTCTCTCTCTCTTTCTCTCTCTCTCTTTCTCTCTCTCTCTCTCTCTCTCTCTCTCTCTCTCTCTCTTTCTCTCTCTCTCTCTCTCTCTCTCTCTCTCTCTCTCTCTCTCTCTCTCTCTCTCACACACACACACACACACACACTCTCTCTCTCTCTCTCTCTCTCTCTCTCTCTCTCTCTCTCTCTCTCTCTCTCTCTCTCTCTCTTTCTCTCTCTTTGCTGTCTAAGCTCTAAGTCTCTCTCCTGTCTCAGCTCCCTTGTGCCCCAGGCTTCCTCCTGTCTGATGCAGACATGGGCCACGATCCACGGATCCCCGATGGGCCTATCAGTATCACCGTACCGCCCCCTATCCCTCGCCCCTCTTTACGACGTACTGTAGTTTTGTGACTCATGTGTTGGTTGTGGCCTGTGCTGACTGGAGTGTAGACCTGGTAGACTGTAGTCTAGATAAGAGTGTAATCCTGTGTCATGTACAATCATGTATGTAGTGTGTTAATCTGTGGAATGGTGTGATCCCAGCACAAGTAAGTACTAACGTAGTTGCTATGTCTAACATACATGTACATGTGGCTTGTTCGCTATCATTGCTTCAGTGATGGGCAAGTGGAAGTGGAAGTGTTATGGAAGAGGTCCACCCGGGGGGGATATCTGACTCTGACTCCGAGTCTGAGGCCATGATGGCATGAACTGATGATGAAGCCTTGGCTTGGGCATGCATGATGACCATGACGACTGGCACCTAGCTAGAGTAGTACTAGTACTTAGTAGTACTACTACTACTACTAGTAGACCATGGTAGACCTACCTGGCTGTGACGTGACCATGGTGACTGTGAGTGTGACTCGAGCCTGTACTACTACTACTGCGAGCATGGTGTTGGTGAGTGTGTGCTGTAGCCTGGTGACTGGTACATGGTATGGTGTAGGCCAGGGAGTCGTAAATACCTATGGTATTTTACGACTCCCTGGTGTAGGCTGTAGAATGATCTACTCTGTCACCATGGTCACTGTGCTACATGACTTTACATCAGTACAATGCTTGGTAAGGTCAGCTATATAGCGCTAGCAGCCTTGCACGGCGGCGGGGATGGCAGTCAAATGCCATTGCCAGTGGAAGTCTACGGGATCGGAGTCGTACAGCATCATGTACTACGCCGCGCCCTGCCGTAGATCTACTCGTATGTAGATCTATGCATGTCGTGGGCATGATCATGACCAAACTCCAAACCAAAGCCGGCAAAGCCAAAGGCAAAGGCAAAGCACCTCCGGCTCCCGTCAGGACATGCGATAGTGCAGTCGTCAGTACAGTCGACATACATCATACAAACAAGTCATGCTGGTGACCGCACATCGCTTGAACGACACTGCATGATTGTGCATATGCGGAGATCATTCGATGCGCTCGTTCATGCCTCCGTGACGTCTACCCCGTACCCGGCCCAAGCTGTAGTACTCTCGATCTCGCCAGCGAAGCAGCACTGCACTGACCGCGTTCACTGTCTCACTGTCTGTTTGTGTACAGCCACAACAGGACCAGCAGCAAGATCAATGACATCTTCCTCTTCTTTACTGCACTTTTTTTGATTCTATTTTTTACTTGGTCAAGCTGAGTAGTTCGAGTCTTCGCAAGTCAGTTCCCTGTAGATGGTGTTTTCTTTGCTCTTTTGTTTGGAGGGCAACTGTTTGTTTGACGACTAACCTAGCCTCGAGTTAACTCTAGCCAATTATGGCTTTCCAGTGAGTAGCAATCTGGTCACCACATATGGGAGGTTTAGATTTGTAATCAAGCGGCTTATGACGCTCGTGATTTTCATCAGTATGGTCTGAGCGAGAAGTGGGCCAAGTGGATTCAAGTGATGGAGGGCTCTCTCATGCTGAGAGAAAGGCACGCAGTGACATACGAGTGACTTGTATTTCCCCACACTTGATGTAAATTCAATTGGAGCCACTTCGCTTGGTTATCCTCGGGATTCCAAGTCGCCCTTTTGCGTGTCCGACTCCCCACAACTCCACTGTTGGTACGACCAGCTGACTATCTGTCTCAGTGTTGTCGAGCCAAACACCAGTGAGAACAGTTGCCTCTACCATTGGAAGGAGAGCTGGAGTCAGTAGGCTACAGGAAGTGGATAGTTCTGTGGGTCTACTGCATTGGCTGGCACTGGACAGCGAGCAACAACTTACTTTCAGGAGCTTTGGCTGCAATGAACTAGCAAACTTGGCTTTTTGCATCTGCCAAATACGGCTGGAGTGGAGATGGGTCAGAAGTTGAGTCGACCCGTGCATTATGTTAGGCGTCGCCGAGAGACCGAGAGCGTGAGGACGAGGAGTGAACAATGGCATGATGTTCTTTCTCCTGAACAGCAACAGGTGAGAATTCTGCTAGCCGTTTTACTTCTCTTTTTTTTTGTGTCGTGTGTATCCATTGGAATTTATTATTTTGTGTCCAAGCGAAGAACTAACTTTATCTCCTTGTGGCCAGACCTTCCATATGTGCACGATATGGATGCTGATATGGAGGGGGAGAGTGGTACAGTGTCGTATTTGTACTTGTGCGAGCGTTATGAACTCGGTGAAGCATGCCGTGTTTCGGTTTTTCGTTTTGGCATAATAAAAATAATTAATGTCTGCAGGCACGTTCAATTATTTGCAGTGAAATTATTTTGGTGACAGACTAGTGTCAGTGATGAATGCAGTGCACGTGTGTTTGTCGATATGGAGTAGCTGTTCAGTGCGTGTAAGATATGTATGCGTAGGTTGTCCCATGCCTGATTCTGCCCTCTATCACGAACATTTGCACGTCACTGAAATCCAATTCTCACCTGACAGATGCATATCAGTGAAGCATTTGCTGTAGGAGTACCAACAATGCCTGTGCCATAACTATGATAATTATGGTGCTTGCGTTGTGTGTCCATAATTATGTACTGGTCCAGACGTCATCCACCTTCATTTTGACATCTTCATGACATTAGGAGATAACGTGATATGTTTTTGCCATCTGTGGTGATGTCATCATATTGTTATGATGAAAATCATGTCTACTAGTATAGTGTAGCCTATAGGATTGCTTTGTGGATTGTGATACTTGTACTGTGCACTGTCATGGTCCTGTAACTCAGTGCGCCGAAAAAAACACGCCGGTAACCAACTGGCTGGGAGGTGTGAGAGCGCAGACGTGTGTGTGTGTGTGCACCTGTGCGTGTGTGCACCTGTGTGTATGTGAGTTCCAAACTGTCAATGCCAGCAGCATGTAACATGTACCTTGTATCTACCTGGTATCTTCTACACACTCCATGCAGTACGGTTGGAGGTGGAAAGCGTGCCAACTGCAATACTGGCAGTAGTCGTTCTGCTGTCGCCTATGTGATTGTGGCGGTGGTGCTGCTGCTGCTGCTGCTTCTATTGTCGTTGTGCTGTTTGCTTCCCAAACCAAAACAAGCGAGAATACGTGTACTCAGCTGCAAGTTAGAGAATATGCTTGCTATTATCCTGTGGTCGTATCGGTGCTGCTTCTCGTCCTGCTGAGGTGGCTGTGCTGGTGTTTTCACCACTGCTTGTGGCTGTACTAGTGGGCTTGGTGCAAATCATTGTCA